TGTTTATTAATTTATTTATAACACTTAATTAAATGTACTGATTTAAATACATTGCTTTTTTCACTTTTATATTTAACATATATTTATAATCATAATTTCATAATTATGAAGTTTATTTTTAAAAATACAGGTTCTAGATTTTACAACTTGAATTTATGTCAGGTTAAAAGACTTCTGCATTGTTGAACAAAATAAAATAGAGAATGACCGATACATGAGAGATTGTAAGGACCACAGTACATGGTAACTCTACCTTTTCTGAAATAAATTGTATTAAAAACAAAGAAGCCTCACCATATAGCTATATATGTATGTTGACAGAATAGAAAATTAAAAAGCTTAAAGTGATATAGAAAAGTAACCAATCCTTCACACTCTTCTCTGATTTTGTCTGCCCTACTTTAGTACTCAATTAATAATTGCCAGGTGAATACAGCCATTGATCGACTTACGACCTATGCAACTTACAACCATTCGACTTTACGACCACAATCGCTAGCCACGACTGCTCCGCGTTTGGCAGCACAAACGTTGCCCAGCTGGGCATACGACAGTGCGGACCAGCTTCCGGCAGCACTACCATCTCCGCGTGCATATAGCCTACTCAACTTACGACCAAATCGTGTTATGACCGGTCTGTCGGAACCAATTGTGGTTGTAAGTCGAGCACTAGCTGTAATAGTATTTTCTAAATCATCTTTTTGTTTTTTATATGTATTACATTTATAACCAGAAAAAAGCCCACAAAGAAGTTAGTTCCCCCATAAATCTGAAAATTGTAGTTAGAGTTGTTTTTCTGAATTTATTATAATACTTGTTAAAATTCCAGAGCTCCACTGAAATCTTAGCAAAAAGATCCACTCCTTAAATTAGCCCAGATTCCTTTAGGGATTGTTTAAGTGATGTTAACTCTATCTACAGTTCCAGAGATCCCTACATTCTTCCACTGGGTAAGCAATATGCTGAAAATTCTTTGGAAAAAAAAAACCTTACCAACGGGAACAGAGTATATTGAATTGAATTCTCTTCTACTACCTAGAAGTAAGGAAGCTACTATGAAAACTGTCTTAATGATTTAAAATTATTTGAATGGTGAAGTTGTAACTAATTAATTATTCTTAATTAATGAATTAAAATGCTATTGACATCAATTAATTCAGTAAGTTTCACAAGTTTGTAATTTGCTCTGGGAAGTACTCTGAATAGCAGCAAACTTTTCTAATAGGGGCAGTAGCTGCCTGGCCCTGTCCAGTCAGAATCATTGAGGACCTTCTCCTTCAGAGTTCCATGTGCCCAAGTGGTATGCGGAGTCAACTTTAAACCTGTCATATTTGTCTTTCTTTCTTTTTTCTTTTTGGAAGACAGCTTCGCTCTGTCACTCAGGCTGGAGTGCAGTGGTGCCAATCTTGGCTCACTGCAACCGCCGCCTCCTGGGTTCAAGTGATTCTCATTCCTTAGCCTCCAGAATAGCAGAGACTACAGGCATGTGCCACCATGCCCAGGTAATTTTTGTATTTTTTTAGTAGAGAGGGAGTTTCACAATGTTGGCCATGCTGGTCTGCAACTCCTGACCTCAAGTGATCTGTCCGCCTCAGCCTCCCAACATGCTGAGATTAGAGGCCTGAACCACTGTGCCTGGCCCAATTCTCTCAAGTCGGCCTTTCTCTGCTGTTCAAAACACAAGGCATTTATTTATCTATACTATTGTATAGTCTCAGTCTATGCTGCTATATGCTGCCTTCCTGGTAACTCATCCTCAGTATGCTGTCCTCTCTGGGAAACATTTTCATCATGCTCTATAGACTTCCTGTTTTCCTATTTAAAACAGAAGTCCCAATCCCAATCTTCATCTTCCTCACAGATTGTGTCAGTTGGCTTCTCTGGAAAGCAGATGCTAAAATGGAACTGGGGTGTAAGAGGCTTATTGGAAGGTAACACCTGTGAAAGATGAAAGGTGCAGGAAACAGGATTGGAAAGGAAAGGCTCAGCCCACAATGCACATCTGACAAGGTCCCAGTCAACCCAACAGCAAACTAGAGAAAAAGGACTGATGATTAGAAGTGCTCTGCATTGGAAAGAATGGCCAGGCTCCAGTATTTCTGCTGAGCTTTGTCACTGGCTGGGGATATCTGGGAAAAGCGTGGAGTAGGGCGACTATTGTTTACAATAATCTATTGTTATATTTTAAAATAGCTAGGAGAAAATAATTTGAATGTTTCTAGCATAAAGACAATTTTTAAGATGATGGATATTCCAATAATACTGATTTGATCTTTACAAATTATATGAATGTATTAAATTATCATATATATGCCCAAAATATGTACATCTATTATGTATCAGTAAAAAATAAAATTAAATAAAAAGGCTGAGGCAGGTTTGGCAGGTGGTAAAAGTCGGAGGCTATCAGCCAACTATGCTCCTCATGGCTGAATATCAGGGTCTTTCTTGAAGGGAGATCAGAGAGACAAACCTCCAAGTTCATCTCACAGATTAATTCCTCCACTGCTTCACCTCTGAAATCTTAAACTTTAGCATCCTCCTCTCCCACCCTAACATCTTACCTTTCCAACTTTTACTCCCTTACTCTCATTATATTTGCCTTTCAGTTGTAAAACTTCCACTCCTTTATTCCCACGACCTTCTCTCAACATTTCAGCTTTGTCTTAACTCCTTCTTCCAGATAGGCTACACCCAGTTTCCCATCACTTCTTCCATTCTTCTGCCAATATCCTTACATCCTTTGCCCCTTTTTCCTGTTAGAGTGCCCACACTACAAAACCCTGTTTATCTGCCTTCATTCTTCCTGCACTCAAATTGCTGGCTGCAGCTAAAGAAAACCATATATCACCATAGATAATGTCACATGGTTTCCAGTCTTAGCTGAACCCTAAACACTATACAGAAATCCTATAGTTTGGTATTTCCTTCTCATATGGCGTATTTTTAAAAAAATTTTATAATTTTTATTTCACAGCATGTTAAAGAGCATGGTGCAAAAGGCACGGGCATTAGAGTCACATGGATCAGATTTGAATTCTAGCTCTTTACTACCTGTGTGACCTTACGTAATTTTTCTTTGGTCTTTTTTCTCTATCTGTGAAATGGAGGTATTACTAACTATTCAACATAAAATATGTAACTGATTTAGTAAGAAGTCTCAAATCATTTGAAGCATATACTCAAAGTTTTTTCTCCTCCAATAACACTGCCAACTGTACACTTTTGAAAACCCCCTTTTCCACTGAGTACATCTCAATCCAATTCCCTAACATTTTAGACATTTTCAGCTTTCAACAGTCCTCTTCTCCACCAGGCCAGGTCAGATAGGAGGCTGTGTGTGTGGGTTTGTGTGTGAAGGCATGATCTGCTTTCTTGAATCCACACTTCTGTCCTTCTACTTACTGTTCCAGTGTCTGAAAAGGCAGGCAGGCAGGCAGGAAAGAATTTGTCTCGTTGTGCACTGTCCAGGTTGCCGTCCCATTTCACTGTAAATGATCTTGTTCCTTTTCATAGGCTCAGGATGACCAGGTGGTGACCACAATAAGTTCCATTGATAAAGATGTCAGTCCTAAGCAGTTCCTGAAAACATTGATGGTCGTTTGGAAGACTTTATCTGTTGGCTAAATTCGGTCCCTCCCACACCCACTTCCTATCCTAAGGACCGCTTCAGTGGTCCATATCATACCTACTCTCTTATTGGTTATTGCACCGCAACTCTGGGGCCAAAGGAACAGGTGAGATTCATTTTCTGTACCTCCCAGGAATCGGGGACTTGAGATGAGGTATCCTTGTCCTCTTGGCCTTGTTATACCACCTAATTTTTCTTCCTTTATTTTGGTAGCACTGGGCAGGAAATCACAGCCTAGAATGAAGGTTTCTATGAACTTGGCTCCCAAAAATGTGTTAAATATTTGTCAAGACTATACTATTTCACCATAATTACTGGACTAATTAGTAACCCAAAGGGTCAGGAAAAGGCATCGGTCACTACTTTATTCTGATACATGTATAGAAATTATCATCTACAACTGACTTGGCCTATACCAATGAATGTTATTTTTTCTTGGTGAGCTGTTAACACAGTTACATTTCTAAATTATATGTTTGTCTGTATCACCAGTATAGGATGTACACATACAGTGTTCTAAGTATTTTACAAAGATTAACATGTTTAATCCATACAGCAATCCTGTGAGGAAGTTATAATTATAATCCACAATTTGCAGGTGAGGGAACTGGGGCACAGACAGGTTAAGTAACCTATTTGTTTTCCCTTCATCTATTTGAATTCTACCTGCCAGGGATCCAATTATGATATTCAAGTCCATCTTCAAAAGAGTGCTTTTATTTTTTCTTTATTATAAATGATTTTAGGGACTACAACAATCCATAAAAAATTGGATAACTTGTCGTCTTTGTGATCTGGAAGAGGTTGTATAGCATGCTCCTTGATACGCACTTGATATATAAGACTTGTCCACTCTTTGGAATCTTTTAGAATTCATTCATAAATCTTTTTCTGTGTAGTAGCAATAGTTCTTTAGGAATTATTTCAGCTCTAATTGGTTGGTTTATTTTTCCTGCATATTTTTGGCTCTTTTGCTGTTTTATATTTTTGTAAACATAAAGCTCTTTTGAGCTTTCCCCAGATTATGCATGGGGTTTCCTTCTAATTTTATTTATTTATTAGAGACAGGGTTTCACTCTGCTGCCTAAGCTTGAGTTTGGTGGCACAATTCATAGCTCACTGTAGCCTCCAACTCCTAGGCTTAAGTGATTTTCCTGCCTTGGTCTCCCAAAGCACTGGATTACAGGCATGAGTGACTGTACCTGGCTCTTCTAATTTTAAAATATCACTTTTATCCATTGTTATATCCCTCTTCAGTTCTGTAGTTGATGTTTGTACAATCTGATAAGTTTGAATCAGAAAAACACATGTAAGATAGCTCAATTTAATCACTGCAAAGATTTATATACAAATTTAAGAGTTATAAATGCAACATTTATTTCTCACTTTTAAATGTCTTTTTTTTAAATGAAGCATTTTAAACAGAGTTTAATATAGTTGATATTAAATATTGCATTTTTAGTACTATTTTCTTCTTTTGTGATCTAGTTTATATTCTTAAAAAGTCCCGTCCCAAAACATTAAATATCCCATTTTTCGTCTGACCAACCATACTTACACACACACACAGAGTCACTATTTTCATTACTTACTTCTTTTATCTCTGCACAGTAGAACAACTGCCAAGATTGAGGCTTACCAAGGTTCAGTGATAACTGTCTTTGCTTGTAAGATTCTCCTTGTAGTCCTAACATACTGTCACAACAAAACAAAAATACGCCAGTTTACCACATGGGGTTTAGTAATGGTTAGGTAGTCATTAGGTTCTCCAACTTGTGTTACGATACATTTTAATCATTCTGAAAACCATGGCTGTATCCTCCCATATATATGACATTCATGTATCATGGATGTGGGGGGAAGCATTAGTTCAGTATATACTCAGAATTCATATGATTAACAGAAATAGATACTTTATCTACATAATATTCTCACTTAGTATTTCAATTAATTTTAATTGCATTAGCCCTCTATCCTCCCAAGTTTAATTACTAAGGACACAAAAATCTTTATCTTTGGTGCCAAGTGCACCAAAAAAAAGCAACATGTTTTTACTGTTTGCTTTTACTCTGTAATAGATACTGATATATTTTAGATACTTTCAGCTTCACATGTACTTTTTTGTGTGTGTGGAGTAGCATGTCCATACATTGATAAAAAGATGTAGAAAACCCGAGTAAACGATTTTCTTTTAACATTGTTTAGAATGAAGTAGAAATTGTCAGTTTTGAAATAATAAGTGTATTTTAAACTTGCAAAGGTCAAGATATTTCTGTAATGTTTTATACATTTCTTAGAACAGCATCACAAATGAATTTCAAAAGTTCTGTTCCCTGAGACTGTGGTAACTACAAAGCGTGAAAAAAAATGTGTACTTTACATAGTGCTATAGCTTCTGATAATTTTCTTTTTGGGACTTAAAAAGACGTCTGTCTTCCTCAAGTGCTAGATAAAATGAGGGAATGCACATTTAAATCAGAAAAAAGAACCAATCACATTAGTCTTTCATGTTTCCTGTTTCTTTTTATCATCAGAAACAGCTGACCCTTGACCAACAATACATGATTTGGAGAAATAATTGGAAGACTACCACAGGGAGACTAAATGTAAAATTGCAATTAGATAAATTACAACACAGATGTGATAAGTGACAGAATACACACCTAAATGTAATTTAACCTCCAATCATTTTAAAGAGTATTTCCCAATTACAGTGTCTTTAAGGGAAAAATGCAAATATGAGGGCTTTGTTAACAAGATTCCAGACAGGAAAAAGCATCATGGAACTCAAAGCTTCTCTAGTTCAGTGACCTGCGTTCTGGCTTACCTCTAAGTGATCTGCCTAGTGCAGAGCCCGCCTCCCACCACAGTGCTGGCCCAGTATTTATTACACTGCCTATTTTGTAACTAAACGTTGGAAGCATCATCATATTGTCAATGAGAAGTAAGATTAAAAATAAAAGGATACTGCCCCTTTTCGCCCTTCCTCAGGACGTCTGCTCCTGCACTGAGGGTTCAGGTAAAGGGTGGAAACTAACAGGAAGACTTGAAGGAGTAGGGGGCAAGGAGGACGAGGCTCCCTTTACAGACTTTGGTGCCATTTTTATTCCTTTCTGGTTGCTTATGTGAACCGTTGTGCCACTAGATTATAATGACCGCCCCTCTCCGCCTCGGGTCATAATTACCCCCGAGATTTTTCCGGTGCACATCCCTGTCTTATAGATATTCTGGTGCCTGTGTTGCCCCCACATTAAATCAGTAAAGGAAAACCATCCCTTTTCTACTCCCTAAAGTGATGTACAAACGAAGGAGTACAGATGAGGATTTAAATCCCAGTCCTAATTCCAAGGGAGGCTGGAAGCCCCCTCAGCCGCGCCTGGCGTGGCCTCTTCATCTCGAGCGGTGGTGACGCGAGGGGCAGGTCTTCCACGTGTCTTCACAGAGCTGCCCGGAGGGAGGGCGTGAGGGATTATCCAAGGGAGGGGTCGAGTATCCCAACACAGGACAAGTTGCGGTCCTCTTCTCAACTCGCAGGGCGGGAGGATGGAGACAGGGATGCGGCGGGAGGACGGGATGACGGGACAGCCCAGCTGCAGCCGAGGAGGCGAACCTGGGTCTGGGGAGCCCACCCGCCCGTCCGCCGCAATCTCCGCCCCGCGCGGCGCCGCGCACGCCTGAAGTCAGCGCCTGAGGCCCCGCCCCCTCGCAGCCCCAGCCCGGGCTCTGGCTCAGCAGGCGGAGGGGGCGGAGATAACCCGCAGCTGCAACTTCGCCTGGAGCCTTTGAGCCTGGGCTCAGCCGGGATCTAGCAGCCGTCACCGCCGAGTCGCTGATTCCCGGGGGCCTCAGCCCAGCCGGCTTGGCCATGGCAGCCGCCGCCACTGCGGAGAATCTGGCCCCGACGCTCCCCGCCCGTCGCTGAGCAGCCGTTAAGCAGCCACCCGCCTTTCCTCCAGTCCGTGCCGCCGAGGCCCACGCTCCGGGCAAGTTTCCGCCGCCGGAGAAGCAGGAGGACGGACGTGAGGAGTCGGGTGTCCCCAGCCCTCTCGACCGCGATGTGGGGGCGCTTCCTGGCCCCGGAGGCCTGCGGCCGAGACAGCCCCGGCGGAGCACGCAGCTTCCCTGCCGGTAAGGGATGGGACAGCGCCCGGCTGGGGTGGGGGTCGCGGCCGACCGCGGCGCCTCCGGACCTCGCCGCCGCTCCCCTCCCGCCTCGGGCCTGTCTTCCCCCGGTCGCCTCCCCGACGCCGTAGCGCGCCCGGTGTCCTCCCAGCTGCCGGCACCCGGGCAGACATCTGGCTTGCCGCGTTCCAGGCGCGTCCGCCCCGCATCCCGTCGTCCCCGCCGCCCCTCCTTGGGCTGCAGTCCCAGCGTCCGCAACTTCCAGCTCGCTTGGGCCCCCTCGGGTTGGGCTTTATTGTCTGCCCGGCTTCTTCCTTTCGCTCGTGGGGTGTGTGACCGGCGTGTTAACGGGGCTTGCCCGTCGCTCGCGGGAACCCGGGCGGGAAGGTCGCTGCGACCGTGCTGCAGCGGCGGCTCCGGCACGCCTCGGAGGGGCCGCAGTTTCTCGCCCGCCCGACTTCTTTGACGCGCGGGCGGGGTTGGCTGTGCCCACGCCCGTAACTGCTACTTTTAGGGCGCGTTTTGGGGAGGAGGAGGATGCTGCCGAAGATGCCGCTGCTGTCAGCCACCCCCAGGGGAACTTCAGCCCCTTGGAGGAACCTGGTCGCCGACCCGCAGCCCCTCAGGCGTAAGGGGAGGGCGCATCCTGCAGGAGCCAATGGACCGTTGAGCAACGGTGCTACGAATCCGTTTGGCTTTCCCGTGGCCCCTTCGAGGAAAATTAGGGGTTTGCTGCGTTGGGTGTCTGAAGGGGGCTGTTTGTATCGGACAGCCATTTCATGCTTTCGTCGCTCAGAAGTTGTGTAGGAGCCACAAAATTAGGATAAATCCCCCCCAACTTGGAATAAAAAATAAGTCTTGGATTGCCTGTGATATGTTCTTTAACGATGATAGTCCTTTCAGGCACTTTTAATCTTGAGTTTTGAGGCCTTTTGAGAAACTGAGTTATATGGACTTTTTGTGTAGAAAAAAAAGACATGTATACATAAGCAAAATTTTCTCTACAATTTTAGCTGGTTCTGGGACTCCCATTAAGTAATATTGCTCCACAAAGTGTGGATCTCGGCTTGAGTAACTTAGAGATATTTTTGTATACATTTCAAAGCTGTTATTTACAAAACAAAAAAGCAGAAGCAGCATTTGGAAAGGGGTCTTTTGAAGGTAATATTTTCTGCTATCTAAAAAAATATCTGGCACTAACCAAGCCATTAATATCAGGCTATTGAAATTTCGAATAATGCAGTTGTGTGATATTTGTGATGCGGTTTTTAAAAAGACATATATACGTTTTAAAAAGCCTTAGTTAGATTTAAATCATTCACTTAAGTTTGGTCCTGCAACACTTTTAGAAATAATAGAATTTAATGTAGGCATGAATTTAGTAAAAAGCAATATTAAGTAGGGAATGAAGTTTTTCTAAGCTGTATGCTATTTGTCCTAAGGAAACAGCATAGTTCTGAGGTTTCCCCAGTTTACAGATTATTCACAAATCCTGCCATCTAAGTAACTTCAGTGATTGAGAAGCTACTTCATTATCCCTAGGGGCTGTAGGGAGTGATTTCAATTTACCTGTAAGTGTCAAAAGCCATCTGTAATGTCTTTGTAATCTAACCTCTTAAAATTTATTTGTGATAATAGTAGCTTGTTTAGAGATATATCACTGAGCAATGGTATCCATTTTTCATTGTTTCCTATGAGGAAGAAAACATTTTAATATTTAAAGTTAAGTAACTTTAACTTTTAAATTTAGTGTTTAAAGTTAAGAAGGACTTTGTTATATTGCGGCCTCTAGAGAGACATTTGCTGTGGCACAGAATATAGTGAAGAAGATACTTTATAAATACTACCCAAATTTAAGAAATTTGGACAGTATAGCTGTACCAAAGCATGTATTTTATCTCAATTTGTCTGTAATAAACCATTGATAAATCAGGACGTGCCTTGTAAAAGTTTTTTTTTTCAGCTACATGCTGAAATAGTGATGTGATTATTTATTGTGTTTCGTCCCTTTTTGAGCAAACATAAATATTTAACATTATCTCAGATAATCTAAAGTTTTAAAAAAAAGTTCTACCTTAGATGAAAAACTTGTGTTGCTTCTTTTGCAAATGAGCAGATGGTGAAGGTCAGGACAATGACCTCTGAGTTGATTCATGTAGGGATCTTTTTTCCTGAGAATTGGAAGGCAATTTTTATTTTTGAAATATTGTTCAGTATATCTTTTGAATAATTTGAGCAATAATTCCAGTCCTAAAATTAGACTTGTCTGAAAACAAAAATAACTAGTGCTCTGATTGAATTTATCAGGAATCTTTTTTGGTCCTGAGGACCAGTGTGAAGGCAGGGATAAGTAAATAAATTCTGGTATTAAAATGAGTTTATCTTAATATGTGGATTAATTCAAGATGTCCTGGAACTGGTTTGTTTGTTTATACAAATATATAACTATACTAAAGGAAAAACCAAAGATACTATAGAACCACTTTCTAAAAATCAGAGGAAATTCCTTTCTTAAGAAAATGGCCGTAAAAAATAGGAATAATAAGTGTAGTTTGAAAAATACTGAACTTTTAGCCTTCGTTTTAGGATTCAGTTTTATTTGGCTTTTCCCATTTTTCAGCTTTATGGAGTAACTGTTATAAACCAAAATAAAATGAGTATTTATTTATTTAGAGACACAGTTTCCCTCAGTTGCCCAGGCTGGAGTGCAGTGGTGTGATCTTGGCTCACTGCAGCTTCTGTCTCCCAGTTTCAAGCCTCAACCTCCCAAGTAGCTGAGATTACAGTCATGTGCTACCACGCCCAGCTAATTTTTGTATTTTTTTTTTTTTAGTAGAGATGGGGTTTTACCATGTTGGCCATGCTGGTCTCTAACTTCTGGCCTTAAGCGATCCACCCGCCTCAGCCTCCCAAACTGCTAGGATTACAGGCGTTGAGTCACTGGGCCCAGCCAAAAGGAGTATTATGTTTCCTTAGAAAGCTCAAATAAAAGTCTCTCTTTTTTTGTATTGGCAAGTGTGGTTAGAAGGCTAATTTAAAACAGTACAATTGGTTTTTTTTAATGCATTTGGTCGATTGCATTTCAGATTACCCTATTCAGAATGTATACTGGTTTCAAGTTGGATGAAGGATAGACATATTTCCTATAGGCTTTTGAAAGCTAGCATGAAATAGGGATACTTGGAGTACTTATTAATACCTAGTGTGCTAAGTATGTTCCTTTTCATAAATAATATTAAAAAAAAATAGTAACATAGGCTGGGTGTGGTGGCTCATGCCTATAATCCCAGAGCTTTGGGAGGCCGAGTTGGGCGGATTGCTTGAGGTCAGGAGTTCAAGACTAGCCTGGCCAACAAGGTGAAACCCTGTCTCTACTAAAAACTCAAAAATTAGCTGGGTGTGGTGGTATGTGCCTGTAATCCCAGCTACTCCAGGAGGTTGAAGGCAGGAGAATTGCTTGAACCTGGGAGGCGGAGGTTGCAGTGAGCTGAGATCACACCACTGCACTCCAGCCTGGG